ATACCACGCGTGGCGTGTCCCGCTCGCGGGCCAGCGAGCTCAGCATCCGCCAGGCCTCCGCCCCCTGGGATCCCCGGGGACAGCGGCGTGGAGACGCGCGGTGACGCGTGGAGGCTTGCGGGGCGGGCGAGGGCACCGGCGCCTGCCGGAGCTGGGCGTCCGCGACGTCACAAGCAGAGCGCGACGATTCGGAGGGGAGGGCCGGGAGCGGAGGGCTCCAGGGTCACCTCACCCACAGTTTTTGTTGTTTCCTTGCAGCCGCCCACAAGTTCACTGTCTAAACCTTCCTCCTGCATTCGTCCCTCCTCTTTCTGGGGATGACAGGTTTGACAGATGGGTGGCAGCTGTGAGGATGGACTTCCTGGCGGCAGTGCTCGGGGGCTGCTGTTGTCATGGGAATGTCGGGTATGCTGGGTGTTCATCAAACCACAGCAGTGCCGTCTGGGCGCTTGCCTTAGAAGGTGTGGGCCAGGGCCACCTAGACAGGGAGCGCGTCAGGGGTAGGGAGCCGTGGTCTTCAGTGCACCTGGTTTTGAATGGTGGGTGGAATAGGAGTGGATGGGGTAGAAACCAAAAGAGGGCAACAGAAAGCTTTTGAGTTTAGAAGCGTCCCAGCAGCCTGGCCAGCAGCAGACCGATGTTTGTGCCTGCGTTGGGACTTCTACAGCAGCGCTTCGCGCACCCTTTTACTTCAGGGCACAACTCGGAAAGGACAAGTATTGCAAGGCCCAGAGTCAGGTAAACAGAAGAGGCTGCTACTGTAGGGGTGACTGGGCTTTCCACCTGGAGGGCTGAGAAGTCCACTATCTGCATTTCTATAACTCATCCCGTGGCCTGGAATTTGGATGGTCTGCTACAAAATTCTAGCTGGCAGATTTTCTTATCTACACTTCCCCAAACCACCCAAGACTGCCTCACTGCGTTGTCAACACTTGGTCCTCAGAGCAGCGAGGAACCACCAAGACAGGAGCCTGGGGCAACAGTCGAATTTACATCTTAAAATTTTACATCTCTCAAACTGAACACATCTTTCTGCTCGCAATCTGCTCCTGTGGTCTCTAACTTGAAGCAACTTCTCTCCCATCCCCAGCCACTTCCTCGGCTTTCACTCACTAGCAAGTCGGTTGATTCTACCTTCTCTCTCAGGTTTCTTTTAGATCCGTCCTCTTAGAGCTCCTTAGATCCATCCCGATTGCTTCTGTTCAGTTAGTCTCATAATCGTGTCTATGATGGCAAAATCAGGAAATAATTTAAACATGATACTGTATGTAGAAGTAAAGAGATAAATACCAGACGAAATAGTTAGAAGGTAAAAGAATTTGCCTCTAAAGAGCAGGACTTTGGGGAGGAGAGGGTGGAGTTTGTGCTACGGTAAGAATCTAGTTCATTTTCCACTTTGCTGCCACAGAGATCAGCATACATTACACATCTCATGGGTTTCTGGCTTGCTTAAAAGCCTTCATTGGCTCCAATCTTTGGTAATATCAAGAGCAAGTTCCTGGACATGGCATTCAAGGCCCATTGCCCCCTCCCATCTGCAACCCTGCCCCTTAGACTTTACACCCCATTTTACCACACCTCATTTAGTTTCCTAAATGCACAGGCTGGCTTCATACCTTTACACCTTTATACATGTCATTGCTTTTGCCTGGGGCATTCTCCTGCTGCTGTAGTAATAGCTAATGGCACGGTGCTGAGTACTTTATATGTTTTATAGGTGTTAATTCTTACATCAACCCTATGGTAGGTATCACTGTTATCTCCATTTTATAAACAAAACTGAGACTTAGAGAGGTTAAGTAATTTACTCAAATATGGAGTTCGTGGTGAGGCTAAATTTGAACCCAGTAATTTGACTCCAGGACTCTCAGTATATTACCTCTTTATCCTTTTAAAACCTTTCTCAGAGACTGGATTTGAGCAGGATTAAAAGATTTAATTTTTTTAAAAGTCTTAAAAGGGCAAGGAGAAAATACTAGTGAATTGATTTTAATCTTGAAGCAAGCATGGAACAAAGAGCAAAATTACAAAGGAAAAGCGACAGATTTCACTGTTGAACTTCTAACTTCTTCCCTCTAAAAAAACTCATAGAAAAAAATTCAAACACAAGTAAAAATTATTAAAAATTTGCAATTTATGTGAAAGATAAGAAAGCAACATAGTTATTAATTAAAGAGGCCTTACAAAGAGAATAAAAATATTCTGTTTAAAGAAAAAGGGCAAAAATATGTTAAAGTCATGAAAGAAAAATGTAAATGGCCAAACATTTTTAAGAGAAGTGAAAACTTAAAATGATAACTCACCATCAAATTGTTTGATAATACTAGTGATTTGGGTCAGTGACCCTTGGGGCAGAATGTGTGCCAATGACCAAGGTCATCATTACTGAGAAGGGTGTAAATTGGCTCAAAGATTCTGGAGAGCAGTTTGGCAGAATGTAGTAAAAGCCTCAAAAATGTTCACACCCTTTGACTCAGAAATTACATTTCCAGGAATTTATAATACATAGATGCCCTGTAACAGCGGTTGATAAATATTTTTTATAAAAGACCAGATTGTAAATACTTTAGGCTTTGATGGCCACATTGTTTCTATTGCTTTTCTTCCCTGTGTGTGTCTGCAAGTGCTCTTTAAAAGAAAAAAAAAAATCTAAAAACTGTAAAAACTATTAGCTTGAGGGCTATAGAAAAACAGGCAATGTCCTGAAATTGACCTGAGGGTAGTAATATGTAGAAATAGTAGATTAAGAGAAAGTTCACCAGGGGCTGGCCAGTTACCTCAGTTGGTTAGAGTATAGCCTTATAACCCTAAGGTCATCAGGTTGGGTATCCCTATACAGGCTAGCAGCCAAAAAAAAAAAAAATGTTCATCACAGTGTATTTGGTAATGTTTGGTAATGGCCAAAAGAGAAACCAAACTAAATGTCTGAGAATAGATAGTGACAGCCATACAAGAAAATAAATTTTTTTATAAAGTTTTAAAATTTTGAATTGTTGCAAGAATGTTTTCTATTGCATGAAATACTATGTATGATTAATCGAGTGGAAATTACAGTTTACAAAAGAATATCTATGGTATGATCCCCAGTATAACAAAATGATATGTGTGTATATTCATGGAAAGAGATCTGGAAAAATATAAGCACACGATGTTTATAGTGGTCTGGGGAGGGGTGCAGGATGGGATTATAGATATCTGGTTTTTTGTTGTATGTGTGGGTGTTTCCTATAGTGAATGTGTATTGGTTTTATAATAAGCAAAAATACAAGAGACTGCTTGGGGGACAACAAAACACCTCAGTTGTCAATTTGAGAAAATCTTCCCTGAATCCACTCCTCCAGATGGAATTGGTAACTCTCTCTTTTGTGCTCCCTGATTAGAACACCATTATTTACTTAATTGTAGAATGGTTAAAAACATCATTTAGTTAAACTTTCCTCTATTCTTGGACATTTGAGTTCCCAATATTTTTTTTTTTTTTTTTTTT